CCCGGTAGACCAGCGACCTACTACCACCCCGTATCGAATGTCGTCCCATTCGCTAGATTCGGGGTTGATATCATTGGAGCCTTCCCAGTCGCCCAAGGAGGGAAGAAGTTTGTAATCGTAGCCATCGATTACTTCACCAAGTGGATCGAGGCCGAAGCATTGGCCAGCATTACCACGCAACAATGCAAGAAATTCATTTGGAAGAACATCATCACAAGGTTTGGAGCGCCCATGAACCTCATCACCGACAACGGCCCACAATTCCGAAATCCGAGATTCACTGAATACTTGGAAGGCTTCGGGATCAAGCACAATCGTTCCTCGGTAGCGTACCCTCAAGGGAATGGCCAAGTCGAAAACGCCAACCGAACGATTGTGGATGGTCTAAAGAAACGGCTGGGAGAAGCAGGAAGCAAGTGGCTGGAAGAGCTCCCACACATCGTATGGGCATTCCGAGTAACACCCAGGAGGGCTCACGGGGAAACTCCATTCTCCCTAACCTATAGATGTGAAGCAAGGCTGCCCATCGAAGCTGAATTCCCCACGTTTCGGGAGTCAAACTATCAACCCCAGCAGAATCAGGAAGATCACTTGGCCGAACTCAACTTGGTCGAAGAGCGGAGAATGGCCGCGGAAGTCAAAATGAGCACATACCAACAAGTTGTGAAGAATTACCATGATAACAAGGTTGGGCCGCGGTACTTCCAAGTTGGGGATGAAGTCCTACGAAGAAGGGAAGCAAGTAGACCCGGCGACGGAGGAAAGCTAGCAAAAAACTGGGAGGGCCCATATAGGGTTAGAGCCATCATTCGCCCGGGGACATACCGGTTAGAAACTCTTGAAGGGGTACCGGTAGAAAGAACCTGGAATTCCCATCATCTTCGCAAGTTCTACAAATGATTGTAATACTAGGCAAGGCCTACTTTATTATCAATCAAACCGATGATAATAGGTCGAACCTATCCTAGGAGGGCTTCCTGGGTGGATCGAATCCACTTGGCTAAGCCAACTGAGACACAGGCCCGGGCCTGGCACGCTGGTTACTACACCGGTCTTGCTCAGTATAATAGAAAAAATATCAAAACCCGGAAGAGGGGCCCGGAAGAGGGTATGCCTGCAAGAGGGCTGGACCTGGAAGAGGGTTCGAACCGTACTTACACGTGCCCATGAGGTTTGACTGGTGTCGGGGAATCAGCCGGCGCCGTCAGATTGATTGGGGACTAAAAAGATGCCCATTAAAAGAAATAGAAGGGGATCGTCCACCGTGGCGCATCTTATATCCCCCTTCTCAGGGAAGACTTGAACGGGGGGGTGAGCTGAGGCCTTCCCGGGATGGTAGAAATCAAAGAGCCATTAAAAGACTTAATCACCCGGAAGAGGGGGCCCTGGAAGAAGGGTGCATTTGAACCTTGGAGAGGGTTCGAAACCATTCGACATGGTTAAATCTCCAGTATTCTTACCGGTTAAGGATACTACAAGAATTTCTAGGTTACAGGTGTTTCCATCTACAACCTACCGATAAAAAAAAAAAAAAAAGTACCCCGGTCGGTACAACAGAACTTCGAAAGTTCTACGTCCGTCGGAAGGCAAGGCAGTTGCCCGGTCAAACCGTGGAGTGGGAATTCACCGGTCAAACTAAACTCTACCAAAAGAATTTGTGAAGCCATCCAAAAGACAAGAGTAAAGTTCTGCCGGTCAAACTTTTAAAGTTGGCCGAAACGGTGAAGACGTTCGAAAAGCAAAAAGTACCCTTTTTAACCGGTCAAAGTTTCTCGGGTTGATCCTTGAAATAAAGTGACCAGAGAGAACTTTGAAGTAATACCGGTCAAAGGAAGTATGGTGATTGATTACTATACTGGTCGGGTATCCTATGGTGGCGTTCTAAGAGGCAAAGATCAAAGTATCAATCAACAAGCAAGCAGATATGAAAGATTAACCGGTAGGGAAATTAAGCATTGCATTAAAGTAGAACAAAATGGTTAAGTGTTTTACAACTACACCGGGCATTCCCGGGGAAATGAGTTTGAAGTTTTGCCAAAATAATCCAACCAGTCGCAGCCGGGAAGATTACTCAAGAGGAAAGGGAGGCGCAGGCTCTTCGTCCGGGATGGGGGCCAGACCGTATGATTCGGCATTGAAGTCCGGATCCCGGTCGGCAAGGATCGCATGGGTGGCCTCCCGATCTCGTTTTTGGCCCGACATGAAACCATAGGAGCCGATCTGGGTGATCATCTCTTTCCCTTGCTCCTCCCGATACAGCAACTTGAAGCCCTCCATTGTCCTTTCCTCAGAGGAAGTAAGCACCCGGGCGGCCTCCACCAGGTTCTCCTCCATCCACTGTCTGGCCCGACCGGGCAGCTCTTGCTCCTTCACCCACGCCTCCTCCTTCAGGTGGGAGACCTCCCCCATCAGCAGCGAGTTCTCCTCCTTCAGCTGGAGGACCTCCGCGTTCGCCCTACCGGCAATCGCCGAGAGGTTGGCCATCTCGTCAAGTTGCCGGGCGGTCAGGTCTTGAAGCTCCCGGTTGTGGGCTTTAAGCCTCTTCAGCTTTTCCTCCAGCTGAAGTGACCGGGAAGGGGAGTCCTCGGCAAGCTTCCCCAAGGTTTCAGGCCCGACCTCACCCATCTGCAAAACCAAACATACTGGTTAGTACGGCAAATAAGTAATAAAACGGAGGAAAGTGTACCGGGCGAATGTTACCTCTTTTAGCTTTCGCCCCATCTTGACCCAGAGCTCCTCTAGCGACTCTGTGGCCAGGACACTTTCTCCCCTCCTCCTCTTTGCCGAGGGGTGGGTAGTGGCGGCGTGCTTGGTTCGGACCTTCCCCTTCCCTTTGTTTAGGGGAGGGTTTACTGTGGTCCTCCCGGCCTGACCGGTCGGAGGAGTTTCCTCCTCAGAGTTGATCTCCACTGGCTCCTGTTGCACCGGTACGGTTCTTGGGGCAGCAGAGGAGGAGCCACCGGTCTTCTTGGTGGGGATGTTGAATGCTCTGAAGTTCATCTCTGCAAAACAAGCGAAAATATTAATCAAGCATGGACCGGTATATAGAAAGAAAAAAGGAAGAAGAGGAAAGGGGGATACCTGGGTGACTGGAACCCCCAGCTTCCGCAGTGTTGCCCGGGGCGGGTACCCCGTGCCCCGCTGCTTCATCAGCCCGGGGGGTACCCGTGCCACCCGGTGAGATCCTCCAAATCCAGGCCCCGTAATGGAACATTTGCCCGGTGAACGGGTCCCCTTGTAAGAGTTTCTCCAAACTTTCTTCCAAGTCTGGAGCGTTAGCCGGCTCAGTGTATTGCGGTTTCAAGAGGTGGTCGCTCCACTTTATGCCGGCCAAGGGAGAAACGGTGGGGAATTTTATAAAGACAAATTTTTCCTTCCACATCCGGTTGCTTTGTGGAAGGTCAGAAATGAATTGGCGACCGTTACGGCCCTTGAAATAGACATAGCCGTCGCAACCCGACTTACCGGGAAGGACTTCAAACAAATAGAGGAAAAAGCGAAGAGAAGGGTCGATTTTGAGATGGGAACAGATATTTACAAAAGCGTTAAGAAAACGGTGGGCATTGGGCGTAAGTTGCCTGGGGAGGATCTTGAAGCAATGACACAGCTCGACCAGGAGGGGGCGAAGGGGGAAGACGGTGCCACTCTCCAGGGAGATGATATGGAATCCCACCCTATCGTCCCGGTGAGGCTCGATGATATTGCGCCAGTTAGGGTCGTATTCAAGGACATACCCCTCCGGGAGATTCCTACGGGCTTTGTTCTGGGCAATCTTAGAGACCCGGGGGTAGATGTCAAGCGGGTAGCTGGAAGGGAGAGGAAAATAACCGGCGAAATCCAGCCGGTTCACCCACCCCTCGTACAACTCGCTGTCAGGGTCATAGGGAGCCGGTTCGTCGTCAACCGGTTCATCCCTCTCCTGAGAAACCTAACCGGGCGTCTGGTTAACAGGTTGCGGTTCAGGGACGGTGGCGTTGGGGCCTGACCGGGTCTCGAAACTGGACAAAGAGGACCCGGTCGAAGAAGAGGAGGTTGAAGATTCCTCGGATGCGCAGGCATCCGAGGAAGAAATACCTTGACTATCAGAGGAAGACATCTACCGGGAGAAAAAATGAAGAAAGAAAGCTAATAAATGATAGGAAGAAAGCTTACTTGACTCGGAGGGCTAGGA